GCCCTCCGCTCACGTTAAGTCTCTCTCTCTCTCTCTCGGCAGGTGCTGAGCCGGGATGGGTCTTGCCGAAGACAAAGTGTACGACTACATTTTGAAAAACCTCAAGAACTTCAAGAACATCCGTGTGGCGTCGCTGGCCGATTCCCTGAGCTGCCTGACCGATGCCGACAGAGTAATTTCCTGCTTTCCCGCGTCCTGCCGGGCTCCTTCCCCAACGTATAGCTCAGGCAACGTATAGCTGCCTTACCTCTAAGCCAGACCCTCTCTTAGATGCCCTGCGTGTTTTATTTAGGATGAGCTTCACACCCGGGAGGAAACGCGGGGCCTCTAAGCCAGACCCTCTCTTAGATGCCCTGCGTGTTTTATTTAGGATGAGCTTCACACCCGGGAGGAAACGCGGGGGAGCCAGGCGACCGTCTATAGGTTTTATCAGCACCTGAAGTGCCGGCAGGGCTGGGTGCCGGATCTCATCAACGCGCTGCGCCAGAACAACGCGGGGCACCTGGCCGACGAGCTGCAGCACGTGTATGACTCCTGGCAAGCCCGTATGTAGCCTCGTCGTCCCTGGGTGCTGCCCCAGGGGTCTGGTGGAGATGGGGACCCGAACCACGTCTCCTGGTGTCCGCCGAGCAGCTGGCCTCTCTCCCTGCCCTGGCTTCCCAGGGGCCTGGGGGTGTCTGTGACCGTCCCCAGGGATGTCCCTCACCCCGGTGACGTGCCTGGGGATGGCGGGGTCCTTGTTCGAAGGTGCTTGGGTTGGTGGTGGGCTGGGTTTCTCGCCTGGAGGGGAGATGGAAAGGTGAATGAAGGGGTGCTGTGGGCTGGGCCAATGCGGGGACAGAGCAGGGACACGCGAGGGGCTGCCTCGGCCCCACACTCATCCTCTGCCTCCTCGGCTTTTCCCCCCATGTCCCGGCTTGCGAATCGTCTTGGCTCCTTCAGGTCCCCCGGCTCCCGCCGCTGCCTCCTTCCCTCCTGCAGCCAGCGATGCCTGTCCCGCCGTCTCCTCCATCGGTGCCCAGACGACGTCCCTAGGGCCGAACCCTGCTCCGGGCGCTCCACTGGCTGAGCAGCTGCGCCAAGACCTGCCTGTCAGTGGCCGTCCGCCTCTCCTGCCCAGTGCTGCCACCACCGTGAGCACAGACCTGGACGCCAGGGCCCCGGTGCAGGAATCGGTGAGCGGGGCACGCGTCAGACGGGGACATGAAGGTCCCTTTTGGACCGGAGCGTTGGTGCGGTGGGCTGTGGGGAGCCTGTGGTAGGGCCAGGCTCGTCTAGGGACACCCCAAGCAGCCTCTTACTGCTGATCTCTGCTGCATGCTTGTTGCATCTGGTAACTTATAGCCTACATATGGGCCTATAACCGCTCCCTTCTCCTGCTTCCCCTCCGTGGATGGGAGTGCAGGGTCTGCTCTGTTACTCCAGGCTCCCCTCCACAGCCCCTGACCCCGTGCAGACCTCCTGCGAGATGTGTGGTGGGTGCCAAGGAGAGACCCCCTTCATCACCAGGCTTGCATGGGTCACTGGGACAGGGTTGGGGCATCCCGGTGGTCCCAGACCCCCTCACCCTGGCACAGCGATTTAGAATCATAGAACAGTTTGGGTTGGAAGGGACCTCTAAAGGTCATCTAGTCCAACCCCCCTGCCGTGGGCAGGGACATCTTCAACTAGATCAGGTTGCTCAGAGCCCCGTCCAACCTGACCTGGAATGTTTCCAGGGATGGGGCATCCACCACCTCTCTGGGCAACCTGTGCCAGTGCTTCACCACCCTCAGCGTAAAAAATTTCTTCCTTCTATCTAGTCTAAATCTGCCCCCCTTTAGTTTAAAGCCATTCCCCCTTGTCCTGTCACAACAGGCCCTGCTAAAAAGTTTGCCGCCATCTTTTTTATAAGCCCCCTTTAAGTACTAGAAGGCTGCAAGAAGGTCTCCCCAAAGCCTTCTCTTCTCCAGGCTGAACAACCCCAACTCTCTCAGCCTTTCTTCATAGGAGAGGTGT